GTAATTGAAGAGGACATTGTGGGCTTTCCAACGGTATCTAAATCAGGTAGTCTTGGTGGTCGGAAGTTGCCGAAAAATCGCCACAAAACTTGCCAAAAAAATATGAAAATTCAGTGACCGTTTATGAAAGAAATTTAAATTTCAGTGATCGTTTTGTGATTTCAGGTAACTTCAGTGACCGTTTGTGAAATTAACCATTTAATAAATGAGTAAAAAGTTGAGCACACATTTCATGGGCATGTATTGACGTTTTCTCATTCTCTCCGCAATTTGTGCGATTGCAATTGCACTTATACTCTATTTGATTTAGCTAAAATGTTAAAAATTTAAGTCAATTATTAATCTAACCATATATTCATGGGATTCAGAACTTTAATCAACTTAACAAAAATATATTTCATCAATTTTTATAAAAAATTTGATTTTTAGCGAATTTATCATCTTGGACTAAGTACAACTTGCAAACTACCACCATGTGACATTTTGTACATGGAATTAACATATTTCAAAGTGACAGAAGAAAGTTGTCTACTTTTACTTTTACTTTTCCTCCGACTCAAATCTGTAATATTTTAATAAATGAGTATAATGTGAAGTCCATGCATAGAAATATTTTTATTTGACTTTTTTATGCCAAGAGAATCTTGTGTTACACAATTCTAAACAATTCTCCACGTTATTCTTCATTAATGTTGTGGGCCCTATGCATGTGATAAGCAACATGGATTCTCTAGAGCTTTTACATGTACTTAAAACAAAATAAGAGTCCGTTTAATAGAAATTAAAATCGAATTAAAATTGAAAAATTAGTTGTTATTGTTGACTTTTATTAAGCGAGTGAGGCTCAATAATTACTATATTTTCAATTTTAATTGAATTTTAATGGGTACCAAACGGATTTTAAGCATGTAGATTTCTATTAATGTCGAGGAATGGAATATATGGTGTGTTTGAACCACATTATTTTGGAAGAATATATTTTAGAATAGTAAATTGATGGAGAATGTGTGGTTGAAAAAGAAGGAAAAATTATAAATGTGATGGAAAATATCATTTTATTGAAAAATGTGATTGAAAATGAGTAAAAGAATGAAAATGAAAATTTTAATGTGATTCAAACTGGGACATAAATAAATGGTAGGGTCCACCACATTCAGTGGGACCCCAAATTGGTCAAAAGTCGGAGCTAAATTTGTAATACTAGTGATTTGTACATAAACTTAAAAATGATATCATTATCTCAATATATACTCCAATTCTTTGACGAGTAAAATTTTTGATGACAACAATAAAATATATGTACTCTTTGATATGATGTGCTTAGTATGCGCTTTATACGTTTTTTTAGCATAGAATAAGAAAATACTAGATGAACCAATTTGAGAGAATGAAATAGAAAGATGTAACTTTAGTCGAACAATTCAATAACTTATTTATACAAATCCCTTGGCACTAAAAATGGAAATGCCTCATCTTCCTTCTGTTACAAAAATGCCCAAAATAAATTTTGGGACTAACTTTTATGAAAAGGGCTTCTCTGTTTCGAGTGTCACCTTTCTTCTCTAAGCAAATCTACAAGCCCTAAAGAAAACTCTCTGAATTAATGCTAAAGAGTTGTTTGGCACAAATTAGAAATGGGATTTGCACTTTTATTGCACACAATTTCTTTTTTCCAGATTTTACTGATATCTTGTGCTACTCTAATGGCATCCAAAGATGCACCAGAGAGGCCTCTTCTTGAGAAACCAACTGCATATATTCCACTTTTGCCTTTCCATCCATTTGGGGATTTGGGAAATCCATCTCTTGAAAAGAACTCATTTTCCTGCGTAACATGAAAAGAAAATTATAAAAATCTTGACAATGAATTTATTTGTTACAATATGTCCAAACAAGAGTTCAAGCATTCACAATCTGGAATTACATCTCATATTAGATCAGATCAGAATAAAATTGTTGAACAACAAGCATCGAGAGAAGGGAAAAGGAAGAAAGAATAAATGACTTTTTGTGTCCCGGAAAAATTAGTTGAGAATAAAATATTGTATTCATATTGTACGACTGGTACATTAGCTGTAGAATATCAAGAATATTGAGTAGTACTGTTAAATTTTTGAATTAAATCCAATATGAATACAATATTTTCTTCTCAACTAATTTTTCCGGGACACAAAAAGTCTTTTATTCGTTCTTCCTTTTTCCTTCTCCTGATGTATACAACTCGTACATTAATTGTAGAATATAGAAAAATATATAGTATTGTTAAATTTTTGAATTAAATCCAATATAAAGAAAATAATAGTTTATATTCACAT